TGTGCTCAGGGCCGGCTCCAGGCACCAGCTTACCAAGCAGGTGCTTGGGGCGGCCACTTCGGAGAGAGGCGGCACGTCCAGCTGTTCGGTGGCAATTCGGCAGACAGTCCCTCACTCCTGCTCGGAGCGAAGGACCTCCCGCCGAATTGCCACCGCAGATTGCGATCGCGATCACGGCTTTTTTTGTTTTGTTTTGTTTGGCTGCTTGGGGCGGCCAAAACCCTGGAGCCGGCCCTGACTGTGCTCCCACTTTTTTTAAGAGGCGCTGTATTGTCCTTAACCCCGCGTGTGCCCTATGGGAAGCACAGTGTAGAACAGCGGTTCTCAACCCGTGACCCGCGTAGGGTGACCAGATGTCCCGATTTTATAGGGACAGTCCTGATTTTTGGGTCTCTTTCTTATATAGGCTCCTATTACCCCCCACCCCCTGTCCCGATTTTTCACACTTGCTGTCTGGTCACCCTAGCGCCTGCGGGCCGCATGCGGCCCAATTAGTACACAACTGCGGCCTGCTCAGCTGTGTGATAGAGGCCGCAAGGCGCGCCCTGGGACCAGGCAACTAGCTACCGCGTGGCAGGGTCCAGGCAGACGGCTGCTGCTGGCCCCTATACAGTGGGGTCCTGGCTGCCCCCCAGCCCCACACAGTGGGGGTCGGGGTTAGGGGTCCCCGCACAGCAGCGTCCAGGTTGGGGTCCCTGCCCCACACCCCACATCCAATTCTCCACTTCTGCCCCCACTCTGTAGAGGGGTCTGTGGGCGGAGGGCACTGAGTATAGGGGTTTGTGGGGGGGTTAGATGGGGGGCCCTGTGGTTCTTAGCCTGTGGCCCAGGTAACACTTTGTGGGCCACAATGATAAATAGGTTGAGAACCACTGGTGAAGGCATGAAGCTGCCTGGCCATGGGGAGGCATGTAAATGAGACCTGGGCAATGCAAGCATCTGTTTTTGCCTGAGACCTGAAGGCAGAAACTGCACCCTCCCATGGTTAAAGGGGAGTAAGGTGGCCAGTGTCTGGCCCGACCCACACAAGATTAAACATATGCACGGGTGCACACTCACATGTGCACGCATGCACAAGCACCCAGGGCTGCACCCGGGCTCACAGTCCCCGAGCGCCGCGCTTCCCCCTGCTCCCCAAGTCACAGCAGCCACGCAGTCAGGTTCCTCTTTTATGGAGACTGCGCCGTTTATACAGACAGCACATTGCCTTGTGGCCCCCGCCGCCACACGCCCTGGGGGGCTGTCTCCGACCGCCGAGCATTACCGTGTGGCTGTGTTGCTGTTGTTGGTGTTGGTGTTCCTGTCTGGGGGGAAGTCATCGAGGAAGACAGGGGAGTCCAAGTCTTCACTCCCCACTTCGGTGAACTGCAGGGGTCTCTGGCTGGTCACGTGGGGCTGCAGGGGGCTGTTCCGCTCCATGAAGGAGTCAACATGACCGAACAAGCCACCCGTCCTCTGGAACCAAGAGGGGAGAGGTCAGAGCGGGCCTTGACAGTGGCGCTTCGAAGCTTCCCTGCCTGTGGCACATGCTGCCCGACGGTCCGGATGGGTTTGGACCCATGGTGAGCCAGCAAAGGCCAGTCATGGTGGACGAAATTTAGATCCTTCACCAC